AAAAAAAAATGCTCAATATGATTTATTATATTACAAATCAAAACTTTGTTCATTATTACAAGAAGTTCTAGAACGAACACGTTCACGTAATATGTCCATATCACATATAAAATGTGATGGTACTTTTGAACATATAAGATGATTGGATATAACAGTTACAAGTTGATTTTTCGATTGTAAAGATGAGAATTCAGTTTTTGTTTCATATAATATTACAAATGTACCTTGTTTCATTGAAAAATGACAACCACATTTACATTGATAATCATTAAGTACAAGAAGTAATTGATGATTACGACATAATTTAGTAAAATATTGTTTTCGAAATGTATGATCGGATAGTTTCTTTTGAATTAATAGAGAAAGTGATGTTGATGTTGATGATAAACAAGTACGAAATAGATGACGACATTTCGTTACTGATCGATTTGATGAAAGTTGTTGTGTACGACGACGATTTGGTGAGAAAATTGTTTGTTCATTATCAAGAGAAGATATAATTGATGATCGACAACGAGGTGCAGCTAAAGGTAAATCCTCTACATTGAGAATTGTTTGAGAACCATAGATTGATGAATTATTTGAAGATATCGAAGATAAAGAAGTTGATGGTTGCATTGTAAACGGAATGAATGAATATTTTCATAGTCATATGTGTATATATATATATAGTTTTAATGAATATTAAACGGCTTATTTTCTTTTGAATCCAATTAATCACCTTTAGTTTCGCTTGTAAACTCATATTTGACCTAAATGAACGAATCATCACATTGAGCTGATCAACAAACTATTTATGCTTTTCTTTTCTCTCGCGTAAATAAAACGGAAGAATTTGTGATATGTCACTTATGTGATACATTTGTGTATGTGACGCAAATTAAAGGTGAAAATAAGCTGCATAGAATGATGTGCGATTGTTAAATAACTTATCAATTAGTATTAATCTTTTGATTATTTTCTAGAAAATGTATATTAATAGAATTACCAACTATATATTTTCATACTGACATAATAACTTGCTAGCAAAAGCTTCAATTATAACAAATTGAGTCATTGATACTTTATCAAATATAATCTCTATATCTTTTTTTTAATGTAAGCATTTTTGAGTGTCATATCATAATAAGAAAAAGATTTAAATTATCTTGTGATTTATTTTTGAGAGAGCTCATCGATATTAAGTAATTTATTGACTTTTCGATTATGACTATTGATGAATTTTTAGAAATAGAATTATATCCAATTTGCGAAATATTAACTCTAAACTTACAACCACAGTTAATATTAGTGTGATAGTTATTTTCATTGATCTTTAATTGTGAATTAAAGTTAATGAACAGTATTAAATTTTTTTGTAAACAAAATTTTTCTACTCATGATTGATGATGTACTTATTTGAATTCAAGTAATCAAACATTCATCTTTACTTCCGATATCAATAATTATTTCTATCACTATCATTTATCATTTATAAATGTATACAAATAAAATAAGATCAAAAGATAACAGTTATTCTTCGTACTTATATTGATTGACTTCCTTTTTTTATTAGTAAGCATATTACTATTGATGAACATTCAAGCATTATTAGAATATAAACTAGAAAAATATATTCATTCACTTTTAGAGTGCGGTATTATATATTATTGTTGTGTATATAATTTTCAGGATAGAAAATCGACAACAATGAAATCTCTGTTATTTATAGTTGGGTCACTAGAAATAAAATTTATGTTGATGATGCTTACTATAGACAATGGCTATTGTCTCAATGATAGAATTTTAGGTACTTTTCTTTAGACGGAGTATATCATTAGTTTTTTTCAATACTTCAATATTAGGAATGCACAAAAAAATGAATAATAATCATCAAATATATATAATGGCAGTTTACTTTCTTAAAAATTGGAATAGACTCTGGATTGACTTCAATATAATAAGTTTATTTAATCATTGGTATTACTTATTTTTGATAGTATAGTAGATTTTATATACAAATGAACCTGTAATAATTAACTCTTATATAATCATTAAACTAACGATCAGAAAGGATAAATACAAGATGAGTCTTTACGAAGCTCATGATCCTCAAAAAGAGTTATGAAGTATTGCTTCAAAAAAATAATTTTCCGTTTAATAGAAAATTGTAATATATTCTCATCAGTAACTATCGAATGAATATATTGTTTTTTTTCTTTGAGTGTTGTTGGTAGTGAATAGTTTACTGTAATTATCATATTATTATCTTTTTACTATAGCTTTGAATGATCCGGTACTTTAAGACTTATTGCATACTAGTTAATTGAATCCTTGAATCTTATCTTTCATCACATGTCCGTCATAAAAGACTATATATATATAAACAAAATCTTCTATTTTGTTAATCTATAGATTACTTTTCCAAAAATAAAAGTAATCTATGATTATTTACAGTCAAAAAGATATTCTCTTTATTTATTTTTTTTTACGGAAGTCTAAAAGTTATTTGAATTGTCATAATTATCTTTATTTCAACTACCAAAGAAAAAAAATGAAACAATAAAAAATACTGAAAACATAGAGTAGCATAAGAAGAAGAAAAAAAACGTTCACCGGTAAATATCTATTCGTCAAGTTTCTAATCAATATTTTTCATGTTGTATTATCAATAAGAAAATCCACATTATAAAAACTAAATATAAATTCATAATTAAATCTAAAACAGAAACAAAAAATTATCGTTGCAAATTAAAAATTTTCTCTAACTTGATGAAATATTTGTTTGTAATTTAACTGAAATATGTCTTCGTAATGGTTCAGATTCACATACATAATTTCCAGTAATAAATGATGAATCACCCGTATAAAATAATGTTGAAGTAACTGAATGTTGAGTAAAATTTTTTATTATACGTGCATAACGATTTGTACGTGAACCGAGTCGTTTATTATTATGCCACCAAAAGATATCATGATGACGTCGATTTGTATGATTATCTTTTAATATACAACTTAATTGAATAGAATATTTACCCATTTCATCCGATGGTATTATCAGTTGTTTAGGATTTATATCAAGGCTTTCTAAATCAATGAAAAATTCAAGTAAAAAGAAAAGAAGTTCTATCGTAAGAAATCGTACGTATAACTTGAACTTGATATGTCATTTGAATTGTTTTTGGTAAAAGTGATTTACACATATAAAGACCTTCATCAGAATCAGTTATTTTAGTTAATGTTAAGATTGTTGAATATGCAATAAATGTCCGATTAATTTTTTGTATTTTTTGTTGAATACTATAACGTGTTTCTCTTGGTATTAATGATTGTGTATTAAGAAATAATGGTTTCCAATGACTTTTAGATCTTCGATGATTAGTATCAGTAGAATTTTGAAAAAGCCATTGTACAATCTAAATTTTTGTTTAGAATATTATGAGAAAAACTAAATAAATAAATGATTTACAATTTCATCACTATCTTTATTTTGAAATGTACATGAAAGTGATAAATCAGAACCATATTCAGCTGTTACTCGTTTAAGTGATGATCGCGAATCAGCTAAAATTTAAAAATAAAAATCGTAGTTTATCTAGATGTAAATCATTTATGAACTAGCAAACTCAAATTTCCATTGATCAATAAGGTCAAAAGTACTACTCTATCCGTTTACATAATCGACATGAAAAAAAAACTCTGTTGTCTTTCTTATTCGACATGCGATGAATTTCCAAGACGACGCCCTGCCGATAATGGAAACGATACAAGGTTCTAATAATGATATGTATATAACTCAGCATTCTCTTTACTGATTATTTCACGACTAAGATTGCTAATTCTTTTATTCAAGGACAGAAAAAAGATATCGTGTGTATTAGATATAAAAGTAAACAATAATTTTACAAAAAAATAAAGTAATTTTCTACTTCAACTAAAACGGATGTGAATTGGAAAAAAATATCAAAACAATAATTATTTACTTTGCATTTAAATTGTAATAATTATATAAAATGACTTTTTATTTTTACTGCAAATCTTAATTTCATCTAAAAATCTCGAAAAAAATTGTTTAATCAAATTTTTTCTAAGAGTTTATAATCAATCATATTAATTAATTCCACATGACTTATTATATTATCTCTAAGGAAATTTATCAGTTCATATCTTACTACAAATATCTTCCGCATGAACAATTCTTTTTTTTTCTTCTTGTTTTTAATGAAATAAATACTCACCATTGAGACAATTAATCGAAATGAATAATAACCAAATGTCAATGAATTGTTGATGAATATACATTTTTAGATTTTATTCCAATATATATTCTAAAAATAGAATGATGTTCTATGCCATAATCTAAAATGATTAATAAAAAGTAAAATAAAAGAGGATAAATATATATATATACATGTTCTATATTAAAAATCGTCTTCCATAACACGCATACAAGAGTGTAATTAGAATAACATACTCAAAAAAATATACTAAAAGATAAAAATAGTCAACTGAGAAATCGAATATACATTTATGTCTTTTATTTACAAATTGATTAAAAATGAATGAAACTCAATTACTTTCCATACATCATACAATAATAGTGGTCAATTGTTGAGCAGCGGCGGCGTCGTCGTCGGCTATGGTACTGATGATGAAGAGACATGCACATTCAAGAAATCTTAGTAGTACACACGATATATATCGTCTATGTCACGCAACCACGTGTAGAATCATAACTTAGGACTAAGTAACACTTCTAAGAATTCTGTCTCATTCATTTAACTTGATTTTAAACAAATGTATGTTCAAGCTTTGTATTTAAGGACAATGTATATATATATGTATAGAATATGAAGTCAAGAAATAATCGAATATATTATATACTTACATTATCCATGACATGATTATATAAATCTAAGTTAGTTTATTACCAATCGATCTTCTTGCACGTCCAAAATGACCTTCTTATAGAAAAACGTTCGTTCACTTATTCAAGTGTTAATTTCTTTGACGCACGTAAAACTTAATCAAGTGTATAAAACGGTTTCCTCTTATTCATTTTTTTTTATATAGTGCTTTGTCTGCTTACACAACCTTTATGTCATTAGACATTAATTCTAACCATTTTCTTTCTTCCATTACTTACTTTATTCATTTCTGTTATGACAGTTCTCTATTCTTTTCCTCTCTCCCTCGTTCTGTCTCTTTCTCTGTCACTCTCTCTCTCTTATTCGTTGAACAGTGGTTACTATTTCTCAAGTGAACATTGAACACTTTCTTTCTCTTCAATAGATCAAATATTTCTAAGTCCCTTGTTCAGTTTATTTTTATTCCTATCAAAAAATGAAAAGATAACTGTCCGGACGTGCGTCTCAGTTCACAATTGATAAAAAAAAACCGACGATATAGATGAATATAAATACTTGAAAGAATATAAAAATTGACACAGGAACAGATACATCACGCTGTGTTATATGAATTGAAAAAAAAAATAAAGAAAAGAGAAATTCTACATCTGCAATATTCAATAAAAGGAAGTTTGGAAATTGACTTCTTCCGTTTCGTAGAATTAGTAAAGCTTTAATTAACATACATTGATTGTATATATTCAATTATCAATAAAGATAAATCTAACCTGTTTATTATTGTATAACAATCTAAATGAATGAATCATTTTTGGTAAGACGACAGGAAAAGAAGAAGAAGAGGAAGAAAAAAAGTCGATGAAGATTTTTTTGCGATGTTAATCAAATCAAAGTCTGTTGGACACTAATCGGTCTCTTGACCCTTTGATTGCATCATGTTTAATGTCCTAGTATGAGTCTATCGTAGAAGATGATGTCAACTAAGTATGATAATCTCTAAGCAGTAATTGAATTTGTCTATATGTATATATTGTGACCACGCCTAAAAGTTCTGCTACAACTGAATAAATCACTTGACTTTGACCTATACGAATTATATCTAGTCTCCTCGTTTGTAATCATTCAAAAAGAATATCTATCAATATTATACAAGTTAGATAAATAAATTTGATTTCTTTGATTAAGATTTACATTTTAGTGATAATACTTATTAAACTACTTTTTTTTTCAATTAATTCTTAATCTATCTTGTTTTTTCTTTCTTTCTTTCTTTCTTTCGTTCTTCAATAAGCCGTCATAATAAAAGTGTCATTGGTCATTGAATACGTGTGAAAATACATTCGATTTTTTTCTCGTTTTAAAAAGGTGTTGTCTCTTTTGAAGAATATGTGTGAAACTTTAATGATACTCGGTATAATTAGAGATAAATCGATGGTTGTGTTATCTATACTGATTGCTCATTCTCACAGTTTTCAAAAAAATGAATTAATGGTAATTTTGAGAACATGTGAAGAAATAAAAATTAGCAAGCAAATAATTTCATATAATTTTCTCAGCTACATTCTAATTATAAACAAAATTTCGACAATGTAGAATGAAAAGTTGCAGATGCATTCGATTCTAGATACTAAGTCATTTATACGTAATGAAACAAACAAAACGCGACGAAATCACGTTTTATACGGACAGATTGATCATGTTAATTGTACTAACTATATTGAAGTACGATGATCATGAAGATATTATGGAGTTATTTTCGCTCAGTCTGAATGAAAATGTTATGATTTACTATAACTGATTATTCAATGTAAGCTGTTGATGATTCTTCTAGTATATGCATATATTCTATCTACACTTGAATATATTTGATAATGATAATTCAATCGATTGACATTACTACTGAACTTATCTTATTTTATCTCTAGTACTTTACATATTTTGATTTACAATACACAGGCCTATCACGAACTGGGGCAGCAGGAGCGATACTCCCTAAAGTTTGAGTCTCGGTCAAACATTAAGCCCTCCCTCAACCCTAAAACGTTCGTGACATGACCAATCATTTCTTCTACTTCTCACAGAATTTTTCTAATTGTGAATATATTTCCCTATCACACAGACAGATATCCTTACCGGATAAGACCTTTTTTTTATATATCCACACAATGTCAAGGATTGAACTAATTTGAACGTTAAAGCATCAGTCATATTTATGCCATAAATAATCGACATTTTCCTCTTTACTACTTATTCGCACAAATAAATAGAAAAAAAATCGACTCTATACGATAAGAATAGTTGACTTATATCCGTACGAAATTAATATTTTTTTCCAATCAAGCGGAAATTGCTTTTATTCTAGTGTGCAATTTGATATTAAAGAAATATACAACATCTATCTTTACTTTTTCATACATAAATGAACACATTACTTTATGCTGGTTCATTCTTTTTTTTTTATCGATAATGATCTTCTGCAAGATTGACTTCAATTTAAAACAATTGACAATCATTCATTATCGTTTTTCTTACTTTTATTTAAATGATGAAAAAAGACATTTTTATTCGATTGTGCATATTGCTATATTATTATTATTATTATTAACAAAAAAAGAGCAAAAGCAAGAAGAAAAAAAAA